GCCCACAACCCAGGCTTGTCTCCAGACCAGGAATCGAACCGGGACCTCTCAGTCCAGGGGACGACACCCAGTCCACTGAATCACACCGGCCGGGCGAGGCACATCACATTTTCAACTGGAACCACAATAATCCAACAGCCCTCAATGCCATCCAGTCTGACCTGGCTGCGTTGTCTGGGCCACAGCTCACACGTCCGACCCCTCCTGCGTCCAACCCTGTGACTGACCACGGAGAGGTAACCTCCTGCCTCCTCACTCCCGTCCAAATCATTCTGCTCCCCTCCCCCACTCCGTCTCTTTCTCATCAGGTCGCCACTACTGAAAATCGAGCGGCTGTTACGGTTTCAGGAAAACGCCTCTTATTTCACTGCTCTTTGGGGCTCACCTTCTCGGCCGATCTGCTCTGGATCTCCCAGACAACCCCACTTTTTCTTCGGCATTGGCTAGAAAATGTTAGAAGACCACGCTGCCTCGATTGGCCACCACCTTGTGAAATGTATGTAACCTCAATGCCTTCCGGCTCGCTCAGAAGGCCCTGTCGTCACTTACGATGCGCACACCCCGCCCCATAGCTGACTGTTCTGGACCATTTCTATACACTCAAACCCTCCAAACACCACCCCTACTCGCTGTAGATGTCTTTGCCTTCAAATCACCTTCTTTGAATTTCCACAAAAGTCTCCCTAACCACCCCGAAGAATCTTGATTTGTACCACTTTCCTTAGCAGAACATTGCTCCTGCCCGCGGCCCTTCGAGAGATGCCCATGGGGGCATTTCATGCCACTTTCTCTCTTTTCTTGCTGACTTTTTTCTTTAATAAAAAAAGAAAAAGAATCAGGATCACGCTTCCAGAAAACAAAAGTTTTGGTGAGCAGAAGCTAAAAAGGCCTGCGATCGAGGCCAGCAAAACTGTATGTTTTTTAAAGTTTACGGATCTACCTGATTGTTAGGACTTTCTTCCCCCTGTTCTCATCTGTCAGCTGACCCTTTCCAGTCACATCTGGTTCAGAGTGAAGGGAATTTCTTGATCTCGAAATGGACAGAGGTGTGTGGGCCTGACCGCAGCAGGAAGTCCAAAGGCTCCCTGAGCGAGTGCGTGAGAACAACACGCGGCCGTCCACGCTCTGTGGATGGGCCTGTTTTCCAGCACCTCCAGGGCACCCGGAGGCCTCATAAATCTACAAATACTACATCGGGGAAGGAGCTGAACCGCCTAGTTACTCGCTACTATATCAATAACTCCTCAGCACTGTATTCAAAGAGCCTGCTGATCTTACAATGGAGTTAAATGGCTCCTGGATGGATTTTAGGACAACAAAGCAGAGCAACCCTCTTACAGCCGGTGAGCTGAGAAGGCAGAAATGACCCCGTATGGAGTGAGAGAGAAAGAGTTCACGTCTGCAGTCCGCTCGAGGAGTGGGCAGGGTCAGGGCGGATGAGCAGTCCATGCACTTTACCAGCCTCACTTCACCCTCTGCACGTGGCATAAACACCTTTGAAAATAAAGACCATCTGGACAGCACATCGTCTATTTGCTCATCCTCACTGCTGGGCACTCAGTTTTTCCTGTTTTGAGTTATAGTTTCTATCGCTGAACAAAAGTACACGTCATTTTTAACTTTATGAAATATATTTAAAGAAGGTTGATGAGTTGTCCAACAGGTGTGGCTCAGTGGCTGAGCATCAACCCCTGCACCAAGAGGTCGTCAGTTTGATTCCCGGTCAGGACACACGCCCAGGTTGTGGGCCCAATCCCCAGTGTGGGGCGTGCAGGAGGCGGCCAATTGATGATCTCTCTCATCAATGTTTCCATCTCTCTCTCCTTCTCACTTCCTCCCTCTCTAAAAATCAATAACCAAAAAAAACTTAAAAAAAAAAGGTCGAGTAATGTTTTTTCCTTTGAAAACCTTCCTATAGCTACAGAAGACAAAAAGGGACATTTCATAATTATAAAATGGCCAATCATAACAAAGGCATGAGTCCTAAAGGTGCATGAACCAGGTAACGCACCTGTCTGAAGTCTTTGCCTCGCCTAAGCCAGGGTACAAAGTTTTCTTCCCTGCTTCATTTTGGAGTTTTACGTATTGAGCTCTTACATTTCCGTCTGTGGCGCACTGTGAGTTCCGTGTGTGCAGCCTAAGGGCCAGGGGCTGTGTTTGGCACGGGGACGTCCAGTTGTTCGGAGTCTTTTCCTGTCCCCGCTGGATTACGCTGCCCTCGGTCAAAGTAAGTTGACGGCAGAGGTGTTCCTGCTTCTGGGGTCTCTGCTCTGAGCTCCCGCGTCTATCTTCGAGCCGATGCCACAGTCTCCGGATGCTTGTCATTTATAACAGTCTTCAGATAAGGTGTGTGAGCCCTGCGACGTGGTCCTTCTTTTTTTAAATGTATTTATTGTTGCCATTATTACAGATGTCTCCCATGTTCCCCCCTTTACCCTCTCCACCCAGCCCCTGCCTCTGGCCTTCCCACACTGTTGTCTGTGTCCACGGTCTATGCAGGCTCTTTAGCTAGTCCCTGCCCCTTCTCCCCCCACCCCCGCCCCTCTGAGATCCGTCTGTCTATACCATGTATCCTGCCTCTGGTTCTAATTTGTTCACCAGTTTACTTTGGTCATTAGGTTCGGCCCTTCTTTTTAAAATTGTGTTGGACTTAGACTGGTCTGAAGGGGAGCTTCATGCATGAGGCTGCTGGCCTGGTCCCCCTGAACTGGGGTGGGAGGGGCGCGGGTAGAGTGGGGGGAAGACGCCCAGCTCTTTTCGGCAAAATGATCCATCGTGAAATAAAGGGCTTGGAGGTCTGGGCAGGGACACGGGTCTTCTCCCTGAGAGCATCGGCACTGTCCCCAGATGCTAGCAAGTGGAAGGCTTGTATCGGTGCCCCTCCTGACCCCACCGCCCGGATCCAAGCAGACCTCCTCGGTTCCCGCTCCGAGCAGCAGATAAGGGGACACCAGATGGAATAACACGGGAGAGAGAAAGGGGGAGAGCCGAGCCCTGGGTGGAAGAGCGAGGTGTTTGAGAGACTCGGGGGAGGGGACTGTGACATCAAGAGGGAGGAAGAAAGGCCGTAACCAGGGCCCCTTTTGCAGACGCAGGGGGACGTGGCCTCCCAGCTCAGGACTCAGCTTCTCTGGCAAACAGGAGGAGACTCTCAGCGGAGGACGCACCGGCTTTCTCCTCCAAACCTCGCAACAGAGCAAAGAGGGGTGTGTCACGGCCAAGAACTGTGCTGTCGCCGTGCCTGTTTCTGAAACAGCAAAAAAAGTTTTCCTAGGCTGTCTGGAAATTTCGCAGGAAACACTCAGATCAGTATCTCAGATCCGGGCGTTTTACATCAAGCTCCGCGAGGGGTAAAACTCTCGTCCTCATGTCCAGTGGTTACCAGCTGTGTCGATTCCGTCGTTTCTTGGTCAGTCGTACCGGGTGTGTATACGTGGAGTGTGAGGAGAGTCCGATGGCTGTCTGCTGAGCAAGTAGGAAGAACCCCGGCCAGCGACTCCGCTTCGTTCTCAGTGGGCTGACGAGTCGGTGCCGATCACTGGCTGCAGGTAGCTGGGCATGGCGGGAGGCGGTGCCCACGAAGAAGCCATGATGAGCTCATTTCAGCACACACTGCCCTGTCCGCGTTCCCTGGTACCACACGCTGTGCCATCCTAGTTTTTCCCATCATGCTTACATTAACACCCATAACAAGGAAATCTCTCTCTCTCGGACCCTCCCAATGGCCTGAGTTCTGTTCCCGAGCCTTGAGCTGTAGGAGTGACATCCCCTGCGAGTCCCCCGGCTCACTGTCCTCTCGGACACCTGGCTGGAGGGACCCACACAGGAACACGAGACTGCGACAGGCTCCGGGGATCTCGGCTGTCTCAGGGGAAGAAGCGGGGCACTGGGCCCTGACCTCTGGGGGGCAGAAGAGGAGGCTGAGCAGTGAGGAGTCGAGGTGAAGGGAGATTTAGGGGAGGCACGCGAGTGGGGAGCCCCAGGGTCTGCCTGAGCCCTCTCAGGGGGCCAGTCTTGGCGCAGTGAGCGTCCTGGGCTGGGAGTCGACCCTCTCTCATCCGCGAAGTGCCCTAATGGCCCTTGATGTAGCAAGAAGTCTTTCATCCCACCGGTGAAAATGAAGGGCTTAAAAGTGCAAATATTTGACATAGATGGATCTAAATATATAGGACGCAGGAGGGAATCATTCTCCTTCCGCGTGGAGAAACCGTGACAACAGGGTCTGCAGTGGAAAGCTGGGCGGGGCTGAGGACAAGCCTCAGAAAGGCTACGGGACCCACGGGAGCCGGGGGCGGGGGTGGGGTGGGGGGCGGTTAAGCGATCAGGACCAGGAAGCCGGGTGTGCAAGGAAGGCGCCTTCCCACTCACGCCCCGCCTGCTCCGCAGCGCCTCCCACAGGAGGAAACGAGGCCCAGGGGTTCGGGACAGGCCCCGCCACAGCAGTAGAAACGAGCAGGACCACGTGAAGCTCGAGCCCAGGTGTCTGTCTCTACATCCCCCATCATTGGGCTCCTTCTCCATCTTCTCGGACATGATGATCCCTGGACAGGCCTCGTCTGCCAAAGATGCCAGCACCCGCTCCCCATCTCAACGGCGCCCCGGAAATGCCATCGCGGCGTCAACTCTTACTCCAGAAGGAAGATACCGTTTCTATTTCCTCATCCAACTTCACACAGAGAAAGCCGTTTGATGTTGACTGGGTGGGAGGGAACTACAAGCCCAGTGTGTACAAGACTTCTTGGAGTCCACTTGTGTGAGCTACAAGGGAAGATCACTCATTTTTCAAAATCGTGTGTTCGTGGATAATGTCAAAGTTTTACGGAAAGAGGACGTAAGTTTCCTTCTTTTCATCATTCTACCAATGAAAGAAGTACCTTTGCTCAAAATAATTTTCTCTTCAGATTTAGATGCGCATGACATTATTTATGAAGACGCGGATAATTGATGCCAACGGCCTAACGCAGAATTCTTAGAAGTTCGGGACGAAACGGGGTCAACTGTCACTTGAGGTACTTTTTCTCCTCTGGCTGGTCACACAGCTTGACTTCGACGTTGCCGTCCCTGAAGGCCTCGCCCTTGGTCTCCTCGCCCGGGTTCTGTCTCGGGCAGAGCCCGGCTTTCTTCTGGGTCATCGCCAACCCCGAATTGCCACGCCTTCGTGCGGGGGACGGGGTTTCTCTCACGACGCAACAGCAAACAGCAGACAGAAAGTTCTTTTTGAAGTTTTCGTTCATAAATGCGTAAACGATGGGGTTGCAGATGGAGTTGGAAAAGCCAATGATTTGCACAATGGCAAAAATCATCTTGATTGTGACCTCGTCGTGCTCCTGTTCAAAATTGCCTGCAATAAAGAGACACACTTGAGAAGGCACCTTCGTTTTAGTGATCGGAAAACGCAGTTTCTGCGTATCATCTGTCTTTACCCCACACACATGGACAAGTGGCTAAAGGCATGAACAATTTTCAAGACCCTTTTGGGGGGAACCGTTGATGTCTGGAGAGAAACCAGCTCTGTGATGAGCCTTCATTCTGACATCGAGGCCAAGCTGAGCCAGGGGCCCAGCACTTGTGGGGGGTTCAATGCCTCCTACTGGACTCCAAGCAGCGTGTAAACAGGGATCAGTGGTCGCTCTTTACATGTTCCCTGTGTTACAGAAACACAGGCATCCAAGAACCACGGGACGTCTGAGATTATTAGGGAGATTTCGCTGAGGGACGAAAATCCCACGTGTTGTTGAATTCATGTGGCTCAGATCCAGGCTCTAAATAGGGAACACGTGGGCTCTCCCCCCTCACCCAATATTTAAATAACTCAGGACAGCATGGAGGAAGGCTCTCAGAAGGGTTTCTTGACCTTGTATAATTATTAAAGATCTGGTCATCTTCATACAGAATTATCTACCATGTAAATGTCTAGTGGTCTTAAGAACATGTAAGAACCCTCTTAAATATTTGAGACTTGATTGCCCACATAAATAGCAATGAATTTCAACGACTCATCGTCCATTCTAGCAGCAAACACAGTAGCAATGTCCAGTGAGAATGACAGGCACTCACTGTACTCCATCATCATGTGCACGACGTGGAAGGGCGCCCAGCACACGGCGAAGAGAGCCACCACTGTCACCATCATGACCACGGCGCGCTTCTTCTTCCTGGACCCACAAGGATACATTGTATCAGGTGACCTCTCTCTGACAAGTGTGTCAGACTGATGAACCAAGTCTGAGCCTAGATCTCTCAACCATAATTTCATCAATATGAATGAAGCTCATGTTCAGAATGACGTGGGCTGTGTATCCTCTTCCCCATCACCCTCACCCCGATATTTCTCACATTATAAACATCCTTGTGACGTGTGCTCATTAGGAGTCTAGCCTTCTCCTGGATGCTTGGCATGGATTATGTCATTAATATTCCCAACAAGCCTTTGACAGATGCAGAAACTGAGGCACAGAAAAGGTTAAGTAACCTGCAAAGTCAGATCGGCAGGTAAAGGTATTTAAACTAACAAGGGCTCGTCTGGGTTTAAACTCAGGTGGTCTAACTTCAGAGTCTAAGCTCTTATTCATTTTATATTTAAGACCACTCATCCCCGTGATAGAAAAATATCAATATTTGTAAAATATGCGAAGCCCTGAGCGTATAATTAAAATGTGAACCTCTATTATATCGCTAAATGACATGGTTAACCAGGATTTCAAACTAGTTTTCTCCATTCCTCCTGTAACAGAGACAAACACATGCAAGAAATCCACACATTTGCATCGTGCTTTAAATTTATAAAAAGTCATAGTCATTATTTCTTATTTCAACACGGTAGCTCCTTCTTCCAAGGAGGTAGAGAACTGAATCAGCAGTAAGTACCTAGATGCTGGGCATCCTTCAGAGCGGAGGATGTCGTCATACACACTGGGCACTAGAGGGCGCTGCACACACGGAGAAATGCTGAAATCTCATCAAGCCACTAGATTTCTATTTTTTTTTTTTTTTTCAAGTTCTATCAAACTAATCTAAATCTGATCAATGAAGGGAAAGCAATAGATGCATTTTTTTAATCTAGGTATTTTTAATTACTTGAATAGTATTATAAATTGTATATCACTTTCATTTACACAGTATTTAGAGATCTGTTGATAGTTTTGGTTTTGGCTGGGTTTTTTTTTTTTTTCTTAATTTTTGTTTTTTAATGGCCATTCAGTGTCAGTTATAAAATGAACCATGTGAATGTACCATAGCAGTAAGTTGCATTTAAATTTTCTGTTAATGAATGCAATCAGAAAGGAACGTCTTTAGGTAAGAATAAGATATGTCAATAATTAAATAGCATGCTCTGGTTTCCAAAGGATTTTCCTAAGTATCATCTCACGTATTTTAGCACCAGGCTCCGGTAGGAGGCAGGAAGGATGGAACATGTGCTCCCTAGGACAGGTGAGGGGGGACAGGTGAGGCGGGGCAGGTGAGGCGGGGCAGGTGAGGCGGGACAGGTGAGGCGGGGCAGGTGAGGCCAGGTGAGGCGGGGCAGGTGAGGCGGGGCAGGTGAGGCGGGGCAGGTGAGGCGGGGCAGGTGAGGCAGGGGAGGACGGAGACTTGCCCACGTCCTGCGGCGCGGGTGAGCGGCAGAGAGGGACATGGCCGCGCTCTTCCTACGGTGTCCTCCTGACACAGCCATGAAAACAGAACACTGTCCAAACTCCAAGAAAGTTTCTGTCTCTAATGGTGGACTGGAGAGCTGGTGAGGCTGCTCCTTCTTCTTGCCATACACAGAATCTCTAAAGTTTAAAGACAGGCACGCCCTGCGTGTGAGTGACAAATGATACGAACTCACCCCGGAATTCTGAGACTCCTGGTGACCATCCCTTCCAGCACAACTAATCAAACATATTTGAAACTGACATGAGTATTTCATTGAACCGACCTGGCAATCTTGGACATCTCTTTCCCATGAATGGTCCGAAGCACCGAGCTGTCCCCCACTCTCTTAGCGATCCAGAGTTCATAGCCGATTTTGCTGTACAGGCTGAGCATCACCAGCAGAGGCAGCAGGAAGAGGATGACGAGGATGAAGGTGGTGTAGACTTTCTGGTGCACGGGGCTGGTCCACTCCTCCAGGCAGCAGATGTGTTGTTTCTCGTACAAGAAGTCATACTTCACCTTTGAAACGAGAAGGACCCCATTAGGAGAGCCCCGGGTCAGCACCCAGCACTGCAAGCGGCCACGGACCACTGGGGGGCAGCGCTCTCGATCCTGACGTGGTTACCAGGGGTACACCTTTCGAGTGACATACAACTTTGCGTGTTCTTTTGTTCTGGAGTGTTTTCAGTTTCCCACATCACCGCTAAAATTCTTCTGAACGATATGCTTTCTTTTCTATTTTAAATGGAATCGAGGTCCAAAGCCTGTTCACTTTTCATCTTTCTCAACTCTTGACATTCCCGTCACGAGTTTTCAGTGGGATGCAAGTGCGCTTCCGTGGCCAGAGTACGAATGAGAACAATACTTTGTGCCACCGGCCAGCTGGTGTGCTGGCCTGACCCTGCTCCCTCGGTACTTGAGACGACAGATTTGGACACAGCATCAGACTTCTTCCTGATGCTAAGGACAGATGTTAGAAAGGCAGCCGGTGGCTTTCAGATTCTGAGGTGAATGAGAAATTGGGATTCAAACTAGTGCTAATCTATAAATATTCAGGCTCAAGCATCAGCCTTTGAGGGGTGTATTTTACAGCAATCAATGTCTGCGCATTGATGCCATTTCTCGCGGACTCATGAGTTCAAATGTATTACTAGTAATATTACTAAAAATAGCAAATGCTCGTGAGAGACAAACTAAACAGGGAAGGGACATTCGAAAGTCATTTCTCTGGATAATAAGATGAAAGTTAGAGAGTTTATCAAAATGATTGACCCACTCTGCAGCTTTCCAGACAAAACATAATTCAGTGTCACGCATGTCTGCCTCCAGTCCCAGCATTTTCTCACCGATCTTTAATGCCGGTCGAATGGGGGAAAGCTCTTTCTTCACCAGAAATAAACGTCAAGTGCTGACCCAGGTGTTATTTACAAATACAACTAACTAGGAATGAAAACTTTCAGTGAGTAATAATTTCAAGATCCAGGCTCCCTGAGACAAGACATGGCAATGGAATCCACTCTGACACACGCAGATGGCACCACCTGGGCCAGCCACGGGGACTGCATATTGACGCACCCTCGTAGCGCACAGGTGGCCGATCGGGACAGGCGTGTGCCATCGGGGACAGCAAAGGCTCCCTGAGAGCACAGCCCCGGGCTTTTATGAGAACCAATGTCGGAACTTCTATTCCAAACACACGCTTCTCTACAAGCCGCCGCCTCCGAGCTCAGGCTGCCGTATCCTGTGGGTCCACACTCCCACGCCCTCTCTCGTCTCGCCCTTCTCCCCATCTTCACACGCACTCTCACCCACCCACGCCTTGCCCTGGAGCACCCAGGAAACCTGGTCATGCTGCTGCTGCCAGGAGCCAGCGGGATCAGGGCCCCACCCACCCATGGTAGTGGGGCCCTGTGCTCTCCCGGTACGAAACCTATTTCTCGTCAGGGTACCGCTGACGTTAGAAAAGGTATTTTGACAGGTGCTGAGGTGTGCGTTCACATTTTCACAGGGCAGGGGCCAGAGTGACAACAGTTTTCAATGAACCCTCGACAGTGGTCAGATACAGGGGTCCTAGGGGCCCCGTGACAGCCAAGTGTGGGGACGGCGAGGCAGGTGGCACCTGATGGCACCCAGGTGGGCAGGCCAGGCCTCGGTCACACAGGCACAGGCCACCTCTCCGAGAGTTTAGGAGTGCGGAGGAGGCCGTGGGATGCATCTAAACACATTTATTCGCTTTGAGAATGAACTCACACTTTTTCCTCACAGAAAGCAAATCTGATTTGGCTGGTCTGGTCTACCCGACAGCGAGGACTGGCCCTGTCCATTAGATTATATGCATCTTCTACAAATGAAAGGACTTGTATATGGGTAAAATATTCGAGCACGGGACAAAATAATTTTATTTTAACAAAAGGACAAATCCCCTAGAGTTCTGTGGGCACAAAATGGACCCCACTAATGGGAGCGGGGTGGGACGTTTCTAGAAGGGCCCATCCGGGTGGGTCTCCTGCTGGAGAAAAGGCCTCGGAGAAGGAGCTGGCCACACGCTGCGGGGGAGCCGGGGTTCAGGAGCAGCCGGCGGAGCAGGGACAGCAGGCGGGGCGCAGTGGTGTTCTCTCTGAAACACCCAGGAAGTAAAGCCTCGGTCAGAGGCGGCAGTCACATCCGGGGGACACCTCTCCCCACTCTGCGCACCAGCTGCCAGCCAGCCAGAGGCTGGGGGAGCAGAAGAGGGAAGGAAGCTGAGCAGGAGGGATCAAAGCCCCTCTCCGCAGGGCGGGATTCGAGCCCTCAAAACAGCTCACGCGGGGTAAGGGAGACGTTTTCAGTTCGTGGAAATTCAGACTGATGGGACGGTGACACCGGACTGGATGTTGCAGTAACAGAAACAACACGGTTCTTGTGACTGGAAGTGACCCGAGGAATCTGATGATCTGAGTCCCTGGAAGAGCTACTGTCCCTGCTCGAGGCCCCGCCCACGGCGTCTCTGAGTGGCTGGAGGAGCTACAGTCCCTGCTTGAGGCCCCGCCCACAGATCTCTGACTGGCTGGAAGAGCTACAGTCCCTGCTTGAGGCCCCGCCCACAGCATCTCAGTGGCTGGAAGAGCTACAGTCCCTGCTCGAGGCCCCGCCCACGGAGTCTCTGAGTGGCTGGAGGAGCTATACAGTCCCTGCTCGAGGTCCCGCCCACGACGTCTCTGAGTGGCTGGAAGAGATACTGTCCCTGCTCGAGGCCCCACCCACGGAGTCTCTGAGTGGCTGGAGGAGCTACAGTCCCTGCTTGAGGCCCCGCCCATGGCGTCTCTGAGTGGCTGGAAGAGCTACAGTCCCTGCTCGAGGCCCCGCCCATGATGTCTCTGAGTGGCTGGAAGAGCTACAGTCCCTGCTCGAGGCCCCGCCCACGGCATCTCCAACAGGCAGCAAGGACGAGAACAGAGCTGCCTCCCGCCCTCGCGATGGGGCCCAGCCCATTGAGTCCGCACTGACGTCACAAAGCAGGCCCCGAGTCCTGGACAGACACATGCAAAACAGTGGAACAGGACCATTCTCTTATATCATATACAAAAATAAATGCAAAATGGGTTACCAATTTAAATGTAAGGCCTGAAACCATAAAATGCCTAGAAGAAAACACAGGAAGTAAACTGACATCAGTCTGAGTAGTATCTTTTGGGACAAGAGAAACAAAATAAAAACCAATCAAGTGTGACTCTATCCAACGACAAAGCTTTTGCACAGCGAAGGAAACCATCAATGAAATGAAAAGACAACCTACTGACCGGAGAACATATTCATCAATGACATAGCCAATAAGAGGTTGATACACAAAATGTAAAAGAAACTCATACAACCCAATAACCAAAAAATGAACAGTCCCATGGAAAAATGGGCGGAGGACATGAATAGACACTTCTCCAAAGAGGACATACAGAGGCCGACAGATATATGAAAAGATGCTCAACATCACTAACCATCAGGAAAATGCAAATCAAAACCACAGTGAGATGTCACCTCACACTTGTCAGAATGGCTGTCATCGGTAAATCAACAAACAAGTGCTGGTGAGGACGTGGAGAAAAGGAAACCCAGGCACTGTGAAAACAGGGTGGAGATTCCTTAACATACTAAAAACAGAATTACCACAATTACTCAGCAATTTCACTTCTGGGTATTTACTCAGAGAAAACGAGAACATTAATTTATATGCACTCCTATGTTCACTGCAGCATCATTTACAACAGCGAAGATAAGGAAGCAACCGGGGTGTCCATCAGTAGGTGAATGGATACAGAAGAGGTGGCAGATATATACAATGGAATACTACTCAGCCATAAAAAAGCATGGAGTCTTGCCATTTGTGATAACATGGGTGGATATAGGGGGTAATACGCTGAGTGAAAACATACTAGGCAAAGAAAGACAAGTACTGTATGGTTTTGCGTGCATCTGGAATCTAAGAACAAAACAAAACGTAAACAGATTCATAGATACAGAGACCTAAGGGCTGGTTACCAGAAGGGAGAGGTGGGGGAGGGAAATATAGTCAAAGATATTGTGGTGAGTTTGCATGGTGACAGATGATTGCTAGAATTAGTGGGGCGATTGAATTGTAAGGTATAGGTGTTATATCACCATATTGTACACCTGAAACTAATATAACCAATATAAGATCGTATACCAACTATAGGTTAAAAAGATAAATTTTTTAAAATATGAATAAATAAATAACACAATTGCAATGGACCCTTGCCTGAGGGCATATCTGATGAATAGTACATGCCTGTGTTGATTTCAAAAGATACAAAAGGTTACACAGTTTAAAAATTGTCTCTGGGAGTCATGTGCCGTCCAGTGTTTGAAGACTACCATCAGGTCTGGAAGCGCCACCCCCCCCCCCCCGCAGCAGAACACCCCCAGATGGCTGGGGTCACCGGACACCAGCACGGGTGCTGTGACTCCCAGGCCCAGCTGACAAAGTGGGGGGAAGGCAGGGGCTGGGTAAGGACAGCCCCTCGCATGTTGCCAACTCGAACTGCAATTTGTCACTGAGTAGGAAGCAAGTAAGAAAGGACTTAAGACAGAAAATCAACTAATAAATAGATAATCAATTACTCATTTCTTTATGTGACGTCAAAATAAAAAAAAATATTGGAGTGACCAATGGACTCGTACCATGCCATTGGACACCTCAGGATACTAGGAAAGCCATGTTCAGCCAGCAGGAAAGTGTATAAAATGACCCTGGTAAGTTACCTGTGTAAAATCAAAGACAAGCTAGATCAACAGAGGGAAACAAATCTTAAAACGTATTACTTGAATCCACTGGAAAACTCTACAGTGAAATAACTGAGACCATGAACATCTTCTGTAAATCTCCTGCATGAAGGAATGATCATGCCCGGGAGGGGGGCGTTTGCACAGTGCAATCATCCATCCCAGCCCTGAACGTACCTCAAGTCGCTGCACGTGCCACATGGGGGACCCCACGATGACAGCCACCAGCCAGACCACACCTGTGAAAATGTCAGGCATCAGAACACGACTCAGCGAAGTACAATGCTGCGTGCTTACTTCTCTAACCAGAAAGACTCCTGCGCCCAGAGCACCCCAGCCCCACCCTGGAGCCCTGCAGGGGGCCCCTCAGGTTCTCACCTCCCTCAAAACTGCTGCTTGAAGAGTCCTCCCACGACACGTTTAAAAAAATTGTTTATTGATTTGTGAGAGAGAGAAAGGGAGAGGGAGGAGAGATGGAAACATCGATTGGCCGCCTCCCGCATGCCCCCCACTGGGGATCTGGCCCACGACCTGGGCGTGTGCCCTGACCTAGAATCGAACTGGCGACCTCTTGCTGCATGGTGGAGGCTCAACCACTGAGCCACACCAGCTGGGCCTAAGACATGTTTTAAATGTATAAAATCTTTAGCAGTGCTCCATCACCTCTAAGATAAAACCAACTCCCCAACTCGGTTCCCCGTAATCTGACTTGCTGCCCTCACCCCTGTGCTCCACTGAGACTTCACAGAGTCGCTTTCAGTCCCGTACCCCAGAGGGCACGGTGCCTCCACACCTCCACGCTGTCCCCGCGGACTGGCGCCCACCCACTCTGTCTGCACTCAGGCCCCAGGACGTGACTCTGCGTCACCTCCTCCAAAGCTCTGAATGCTGCTACACTTCCCAGACGGAACTGACCACCTGCATTTTCCCAGGGAAGCTCCCTCAGTAGGTGCTTGATCAGCAAAAATGTGTTCGTTAAATGAATGAATAACTTAAACATGATACGCATCGCCCTCAAAAATGTCTTCTTAAAATTGACAGTATAGCCCTGGACAGTTTGGCTTAGCAATTACAGCGTCAGCCTGTGGACCAATGAGTCACGGGTTCGATTCTGGTCAAGGGCATGCACCTCGGTTGCGGTTCAGTCCTGGCCCTGGTTGGGGTGGTGCGGGAGGCAGCCAGTTGATGTGTCCCTCTCACGTCCATGTTTCTCTCTCTCCCTTTCTCTCCCTCCCTCTGCCTCCCACTCTATCTGAAGATGAATAGAAAAAATATCCTCGGGTGAGGATAAAAAAAGAAAAAAATTGAGAGTACATTTACCTTCACCATCCTAAGATGGGCATTGTTTTCTTATTTACATAACAAGCACATCAGAAACTAGAGCCTGTTGAGAGAATTGCTTTGACGGTGTTTTCTCAGCAAGGAATGAACGAGAATCTCAGCCTGGGAAGAGGCCGGACAAGAGCCCGACGTGGACTTTGAGGAAAAACTCCCAGCCCAGACTGCTTGTTCTCTCTCCTGAGTGAGACCAGCAGGGAAACCGTGTGTTGTCGTGGGTTTCAGGAGCTGAGACTCTCTTAAGCCACAGTGGGGTTTACTATCAAGACACATGTGACCTGGCACCCACCTCAGGAGAGCCCGGAGGCTGCCCGACAGCCTGAGGCTCACAAACCTCCCTGCACAGGGCACATGCATGTGCTCTGCTCTGCTCCCCCTGCTACGTTACACTGTGTACACTGTGTCCACGTACCTTCCAGCCTCTCACAAACCTCCCTGCACAGGGCACGTGCGTGTGCTCTGCTCTGCTCCCCTGCTACGTTACACTGTGTACACTGTGTCCACGTACCTTCCAGCCTCTCACAAACCTCCCTGCACAGGGCACGTGCGTGTGCTCTGCTCTGCTCCCCTGCTACGTTACACTGTGTACACTGTGTCCACGTACCTTCCAGCCTCTCACAAACCTCTGCACAGGGCACCTGCATGTGCTCTGCTCTGCTCCCCCTGCTACGTTACATTGTGTCCAAGTACCTTCCAGCCTCTCACAAACCTCTGCACATGGCACATGCATGTGCTCTGCTCTGCTCCCCCTGCTACGTTACAGTGTCCAAGTACCTTCCAGCCTCTCACAAACCTCTGCACATGGCACATGCATGTGCTCTGCTCTGCTCCCCCTGTTACGTTACATTGTGTCCAAGTACCTTCCAGCCTCTCACAAACCTCTGCACATGGCACATGCATGTGCTCTGCTCTGCTCCCCCTGCTACTACGTTACACTGTGTCCAAGTACCTTCCAGCCTCTCACAAACCTCCCTCCACAGGGCACCTGCGTGTGCTCTGCTCTGCTCCCCCTGCTACGTTACATTGTGTCCAAGTACCTTCCAGCCTCTCACAAACCTCCCTGCACAGGGCACGTGCGTGTGCTCTGCTCTGCTCCCCCTGCTACTACGTTACACTGTGTCCAAGTACCTTCCAGCCTCTCACAAACCTCCCTCCACAGGGCACCTGCGTGTGCTCTGCTCTGCTCCCCCTGCTACGTTACATTGTGTCCAAGTACCTTCCAGCCTCCGGGAGAATTTCAGGAGGAGCAGAGTCTAACGGGCTTAGCTCAGGGACAATCCTGGCCCAGGCGAGCTCAGGGATTGAGACCAGGCGGGGCGAACATTTCTGATCTGACCCGTGAGCTCACCTGCCAGCTGGGCCCAGGGGCGCGTGGTCTCGGCCGGGGTGGCACTGAGCATGGACACCCGACACGCGGCTTCACGGGGTCCCGGGGCTGGGGGAGGGGCAGTGGCCCCGCACAGAGGCCCTGTGGGAGGTGAGTCCTGTGACCTCTGAGGAAGAACTGCCTGGACTGCCCATTACCCACTTTGCTTTGAGAGGCTGAGCCTCCCTCTCCGCGTCTCTTTTCTTAGTAAGTCCCTCCTGCCAGGGGCTTCTCTCCTCGCCCTCTCTCCTCGCCCGCCCGCTGCTTCTAGGTGCTCTGCGGGTGGAAGGGCTAAGACTAAGGCCTTTGGATTCTCTGTAGGAAGCAGAGGACGGGTAAACACAAATCTGGAACTCACGGAAACTAACCATGTTGTCCCTATTCGTCTGTCTATTCATTTCGAACTGCGCGGAGCGAGCGAGGCGCCGCAGCCTGGGGGTTCTGCCCTGCGATCGGCCGAGTCTCCCCGGCGGAGAGGACGGCTCACCCACCCTCCCAGGGACTGTCCCGGAATCGTTCTCTGCGGGCTGCTTCAGATGCTCTGAGAGCTCCGGCTACTTCCCTGTAGCACCCCCGGCCCCTGGGAGGGGCATTAAGGGTTATGAACGGCTCGATGGTCATTGTCACACAGAGTTGTTCCGTGGCCTGTGCTGGCTCTGGGACATTTCCCACGAGGTCCCTGCTCACCAGCCCCACGGACACAGGCTCACTAATGTGGCCGAGCTGTCCGTCAGGTGTCACCAGCGCCTAGTGTTCCCGTGGGCCCCGCACCCCCCTTCTCGGCTTTTCTGCCCCCAGAGAAAATCGACCTTCCGTGACAAGGGCGCCTTGGCGACCTCTACCTCAGGATGGCAGCTTCCCAGGCTAATGACTGTTCCTGCAGCCATGCGGCCGAGGGGCTGGCTCGGGTCAGCCGGCGGAGCAAGAGGAGGACCCGGGTGAGAGCTGTCCGTGCTGGGGTGCGCCCGGAGAGGGGGTGAGGGTGGGGTGGACGGGCAGCGGACGGAAGCCCTGGGGTTACCAGCCCCGTTTACCGCCGGGTCGGGGCATGTGGGCCCCGCACGCCCTCACCTAGCATGGTGAACGCCCTGCGGTTGGTGCACCGCCACTTCATCCTGAAGGGGTGCACGAGCCCGCGGTGCCGCTCCACGGCGATGCAGGTCAAGGTGAGGGTCTCGGTCACCACGGCCGTGCACTGGGCGAAGGGCACCATCTTGCAGACGAAGGCACCTGCAGCGGGAGACACGTGATACACAAAGGGAAGGTTTGCCCTGTCGCTCTGCGTCGCAATTCATTCACGCAGCCTCCTTCAGGAGGGTCGTGTCTACCATTTCCTGACGGATGCGACACAACGGGGGAAGGTCCCGGGCTGGTGCTTCCTCTCCCTAGTTGGAGTCTGAGTTGCTACGTTGTATATAATCGTTGTATATACTCGTCTAGTACAGCGACCACAGGGCAAGGGCGTCCCTGGCCTTTGAAAACAGGCAGGAAAAAGAATCACGGTGATGTTTCCTCGCGAACAAGCAGCCAGGGTGAGCGGGCCTCCTGGGTTCCATGCTGCAGGGTCTTCTCTGGTTCTTCCTTCCCTCTGTCCCCGTCAAACCACAACAAAGGGCTACCTCTCATCAAAGACACCCACGTTTCTGCTTTTCTCTTGTATTCCCCTGAGACTTCCTGTCCGAGACTTCCTGTCTGGATGACACGGTTCCTCCTCAGCTCAGTTCACGTCCCCCCAACGCAAAGGTCTCAGGCCACTGGCCCCGGGGCAAGGTTAGGTCTGCAGACGGGGTCAATGGAATATATATGCATGTGAGTGTGTATATATGTTTCTATTGATTTTTTTGAAAGAGCAAGGGAGACAGAGAGAAACATTGATGTGAGAGAGAAACATGGATTGGCTGCCTCCTACATGCCCCCCACTGGGGATCGAGCCCACAACCAGGGCCTGTGCCCTGACTGGGAATCGAACCGGGACCTCTCAGTCCATGAGACGATGCTCAATCCACTGAGCCACACCGACCAGGCTCAACGTAATATTTTAAAAATATTTTAAGTCATTGCCAACGTTTTCTCTGGCACCTTTACCATCTGTATCCATGAGCCCCAGCCTGACATGTCTGCTTGTGAATATATCTTGCTCAAAGTTATCAAATTAATTGTTCTGAACGGTCAGAGTGAGGAGTCATCAGCTCGGGGATAGAAGAGGTTGGCAGAGCCTCAGAGGTCCTGTGTTCTGAGCTGTCCCCAAGCAGAGGTCCTCGTCACCTCCTCTCACAGAAGGGCAGGCTCTGCAGGTGGGCTCCTTGCTGGTACACCCTTCCTCTTGGAATGACATTCCGCAAGAAACCCCTCACGTCCTGCACTGAAGTCGTCGCTCAGATGTCACCTTCTCAACCCATAGTTGTACCCACAGCCTGCCCTCCACCCTCTCCTCTCATTCACCCCTCACCCCCTTTCCCCGATCCCTTCACCACCCGCACACCATCGGCCTGCGGTGTGTCTGTCCAGGGTCCGCTGACCTCCCCCACATCTACTGGAACGGAAACGCTCCTGAGCAGAGACTTCGGTCTGTTTCCTCCATGGATGCACCCAGGCATTTCAAATGGCGCACGGGAGGCGGTCGGCAAACACGCTGAGAAGGGAGTGGCCGGAGGCTCTTAACCACGCGGGGTGCCTCCACCTCACTCCGGAGAGGCTCCCACCAGGAAACTGCTTTTCCGTGACTCCGCCCTCTCCCACCTTTGCCTTCAGACTTTCAGAGCTCACCAGCCACCCTCTGCCAACAGCAGCTCTTCGTATATTTGAAGGAAGCGTCCCTGTCGCTGCGGAGTCTTTCCCAGCTGCCCCAGCTGTTCCTGGGTGGTCCAGAGGGGACCCCCCCACCCCGTGCTCAGGGTGTGGTCTGGCTGCGGCAGAAACTATAGGACTAGCCTGTCTCCCTGGGTCTAAACACCCTCTTCTCTGGTTGTGACTACAATGTACATCACCTTTTGCGCTAGAATTTTCAAATGATTGGTGTCCATGGAACTTGAAATCAACTTGAAATGCACTGTGTCCATTTAATAGACATTTCTGTTCATCTAAGACTCCCGTGACTGAGGGAAAGCGTATTTAGATATTGTTCTAGATCCTTCCTTCCGAGTCCTTCTTGGAAGCTCCAAGTGGCAACCCAAGAGCCCGTCACCACCCCAACCTTGGTTCCAGATCTCCAAATCCCAACCCAGTTCCGAGTTAAAGCCCTTTCTTGTCCAGCAAGATCGTTTAGATACTAAATGAAGGAATTTACTTTCAACACTAATATATTTTTCTGTTTGGATGCTGATCACACCTGTGAATGAATTAGCTCACTTCAAACCCTGTTTTGTATGTGATACCTGCATAAATGAACATGTGAATACATTCTTTATCTGGATATCTCCCCTGTCTTTGAAATTTTGATCAGAATTTCTTCTATTCTTTCAACCAAATTGTTTATTTAAAAAATATATACATGGGACAGTCCAAGGTCAAATGAATACCAGAAGAAAGTTAGCATGGAATGAATGTGGATCTGTTATCAACACATTTTAGGCATAATTATCCAAACACATAGGAATTAATATTGTAGATCATGTCATTGGAGTTACCCATCTTGTCCACTGTAACAGCATGGGACACGGGTCACATGTTCTGATACCATCTGTCCTCTGGACTACTTGTTAGATAAGCCTGAACCTCAATGTCATCATTTGTGAAAAGGGGTGAATAGTACCCACCTTTCATGTGAGTACTTCGTACAATGACATAAGCACCCAGTACAGGATATGTTTTCTTAATAAATGGCAGCTTTTTAAAAAATCATCAGGCAACTGGATTAAAAGAATGGAGGTAGATGTGATCCACTGGAAGTTGATAGAGTGTTGTTGGTGGCTCACCTGCCCACTGACGGACATCCAGTTCTATAACCTTATTTCCCAGATAAAGATACTGCAGCTCAAAGGAGTTGAGTGACTTGCTCAGGTCTACGCAGCTGTGTATGGACAGAATGAGGACATGGGTCCGGGTCACTGCCCCCCTTCTTTCCATCACGTCACCCTGCCCTGTCCCAGTGCACCATGCTCGGTGGCAGCCCTCTCGTGTCCATGCTCACAGATCACCTAAGTAATAACCGCTGGAGTGCTCTGCCAAGACCGAGTTCTATAGCCTGCCCTCTTGCTCCTCTTATGAATCCAGAAAGTATTTGCCCAGCCCATTCCTTCTGGTGTTTCTCTAACAGCTGCAGTTCCCTTGATCACGTCTCCAAGTGCCGTCCATGTCCCGGCGTGTAATGGATCGACGCTGAAGATGTGCCTTCTTTTAAAAATAGGCAGATGCGCCCTGGCCGGTTTGGCTCAGCAGTTAGAGCATCGGCCGGTCCAGAGAGACACAGATTCGGTTCCCGCTAAGGGCACGTACCTCGGTTGCAGTTTGTCCCCGGCCCAGGTTGGGTCGTGCAGGAGGAAGCCACTCAATATGTCCCTTTCATGTCATGTTTCTCTCTCTCTCTCTCTCTCTGTCCCTCTCTCTCCCTCCCGCTCTATCTGAACAAACAATGGAAAAATGTCCTTGAATGAGGATACAAAAAAAAAAAAAATAGGCAGATGTTCTTTTACTACCTGCTCGTTTATCTTGATCTTGATTTCCATCCAACCCATCTTTGCTTTGCCCTTTCTAACGTGGAGATCATTTTTCAAGTTCTAGAAGCCTGAAGCAAAATAGGCACCAGGACTTTGATTTTGCCTCTGCCCTTTATTAAATGTCACCCACTGATGTTCTGTTTCTTTTTTTTTTTTTCAAAAAATTTTATTAATTATTAATTTTTTAGAGAGAGAGGAAGGAAGAGAGAAATAGAAACATCAATATGAGAGAGAAATCTTGATCGGTTGCCTCCTGCATACACGCTACTAGGGATTGAGCCTGCATCCTGGGCATGTGTCCTGACCAGGAATCGAACCAGGACCTCTCAGTCCAAGGGACCACACTCAGTCCACTGAGCCACACCGGCCCGCTCTCCCTTCATTTCCAGCTCCTGTTTCTGGTGACTCTTCAGTGGGCTCCTTCTACACAGGAGCCTCCCCAATGTGACTTCTACAGGTCTAAGCTATTCTGCAAGAGTATGTCCTTGTGACATTTCTTCCTGTAGACGGCGATTTTAAACTGGGAAAATCCTAGAATTCCCTGTGTAGGGCACTGTTTTCTTGGAAGGTCCTTCCCTTTTTTCTTTCTAGGATCATCCAGTTTTAAATCGAAGTTGAGTTTCTCAAAGCCTGTCTGGAACGGCTACCGCTCATGTTCTGACCATCCATCGACCTATATTTCCCAGTAGCAACAGTTTTCTCTGGTGTGTGGACTGCACTCCACGCGGGCAGGTGAGGCCGGAGCCCCTCCTGGGGAGACAGGCAGAAACATGGCCAGATCCTCCGGTGCTGACAGAGCCAGTGAAGCTGGAAGGCAGGTGGGAGGTATGCGGTCCAGGGATCACTGGGTCCTGAGTGACCACAGACCACAGCTCAGTTACTGCTGCCGACCTCTGAACTGGCCCCTGCCTATTCCGTGAGCTTCACCCTGATCTTGTGAACTTCCAACATCCTTCTGGTACATCCCCATCTCTTAGGCTCCTTAGCGATCAACTGTTCTCATAACCAAGTAAACTTACTTGACATCATCCTCTTACATTACCTTTTCTCTGGAAGGTACATTTCCTAAAATGTAGAACATGTGGTTAGTGCCCCACCTGTGTGCATTGTCAATGCTACAGCGGCACAGTCCAAATCCGACTATTTCAGTTTGCCATCATTGCTGCTTCCATTTCTACTCATCGGACTCTTGCATAAAACAACCGCAATAATTCCCCTGTGCCTACTACATTAGAAACCAATGCTTTGGTTTAATATGTATTCCTTCTCTTTCCTGCCTTATCTTATATAGTTTTATTTCCAGAATATGAGCTCTTGGCTCTGGCCGTGAATGGTGCCCATGGTCCTACACCCACGCCAGCCCTTACCTCCCATCACACACAGTGCAGGTCTCAACGATTCAAATAGCAATAAGACCTCATTGCTTCTAAAAACTAGTCTTGGAAATAGAAAACAACTTGGCCAGTATTTGTTTTCACCCCAGTGTACTAGTGACTTTTAAAAGGATCCAAGTGAAAAGAACAGAGAATTCATATGTAGAAAAGGTTAAAACCATTCTTTGATTAATTTAGAAAA